TCCATCCACTTTGGATCTCCCAGGACTAATGATCCCAGATCTCCATCCCCCATGGATCTCTCAGGGATGGGGGTCTGTATCCTGCCCAGTTCAGAGAGTCCCTCGGGTTAGGTGCTGGAGCAGCGGCCAGGCTCTGGCCTGACTGCTCACCCCATCCCCCACAGGGAGATCGAGTTCCTCAAGAAGGAGACGACCCAGAGGCGCGTGCTGGAGGAGTCGGAGCTGGCCCACAAGGAGGAAATCGACAAGCTCCAGGAGAAGGTGGGCACCAAGGACCAGGATACAGGGTTCCCCTGAGGCAGCAGAGCAGGAGATTGCAGAGGAGAGGGGCCCTGGCTGTGACTGGACGGCTCGGACGGGGACTTCCAGCGGACCAGAGCTGGCTTTGGCAGGAGCAGGGGGTGGGGCGAGGAGGGGGCTCCATTTGCCTCGCTCTGCCTTCTCCATGACAGCGTGGGCTTGATTCCTTTTGTCTGTGGCCCGGTGCGATGGGCATGCCGGATCCTGCGTTGGATGTCAGGGCATGCCGGATCCTGCGTCAGTGCTGCTCACACTGGATCCCGCAGTGGGTCACACCGGATCCCGCGCCAGGTGCTGGATCACACCGGATCCCACAGTGGGTCACACCGGATCCTGTGTGAGTGCTGGTCACACTGGATCCCGGAGTGGGTCACACCAGATCCCGTGCCGGGTGCTGGATCACACCAGATCCCACAGTGGGTCGTTCTGGATCCTGCACCGGGTGCTGGATCCCACCAGATCCCACAGTGGGTCACACCAGATCCCGTGCCGGGTGCTGGATCACACCGGATCCCACAGTGGGTCACACCTGATCCTGCGCCGGGTGCTGGGTCACACCAGATCCCACAGTGGTTCATGCCAGATCCCGTGCCGGGTGTTGGATCACAGTGGATCCCATAGTGGGTCACACCAGATCCTGCGCCAGGTGCTGGATCCCACCAGATCCCACAGTGTGTCACGCTGGATCCCATGCCGGGTGATGGATCCCACCAGATCCCACAGTGGGTCACCCCGGATCCCGCGCCGGGTGCTGGATCACACCAGATCCCACAGTGGGTCATGCCAGATCCCGCACCGGGTGTTGGATCACACTGGATCCTATAGTGGGTCGCATCAGATCCCACACTGTGTGCTGGATCACACCAGATCCCACAGTGGGTCACACCGGATCCCGCACCGGGTGCTGGATCGCACCGGATCCCGTGCTGGGTCACGCTGGATCCTGCATTGGCGCCCAAGTCAAGACTCCAGGGCATTGTTTTGCAGCTGAACATCCGTGTGTGTGTGTGCATGTGTGTGAGGAGGGGTTCCCTGCTGCAGAGGACGGGATGGTCAGGCAGCATGGGCCCGTGGGGTGGCATCAGAGGCTTGCACCCCCTCTCCTAGGGCTCCCTGTGCTCGCAATGATTGCTCTGATTGGCCCCGGCTTGGTACCCTGACTTCTCTCTCTCTCCCCAGGGAGTGGCTGCAGCCCTCCGCTGCGGTGCAGGCACAGCGCCCCCCGTTGGGCAGCATGGGTGCAGGCAGGCAGACGCCCCCGAGTGATGTTTGTCTGCCCTGCCCCTGCCGTGCTCACGCCCGGTTCCGCAGGGAGCGTGGCAAAGCCGCTGCTCCCCCACCTGGGCACACGTGTCCCGGGCTGAGGCAGTGGTAGCTGCTGGAGGGGGCCGAGGTGCCCCGCCGGGCTGCAGGCCGGGTGCATTTTCAGTCAAATGCGGGGGGCGGGGTCGCTGCACAGGACCCAGGAGGCAGAGCCGGGTGGGCACGGAAATCGGGCTTCACGCTTGCTCCTACTCTCACCCCTTCCTCGCTGCCCCCTGGACACCCCTCCACCCCCACATTGGAAGACATTGCCTGGCGTAGAGCAGCCGATGGCTTCCCAATAACCCCCTCCCTCCTCCGCACCCATCCCCTCAGCAGTGACCCCCTGCATCCACCCCCGCAGCAACCCCCCATCAGCCATCCCCTTCCCCCCCCCCCGTCACCTCTCAGCATTCCCCCCACAACCCCTCTCAGCGATCCCCCCTCCCGCGCCCCGACATCCCCGGCCTCGGGACGGCCCCGCTGCTTCTCTGCCTGAGACCTTTATCCCTTTGTCTGTTTTTCAGATCTCCGAACTGGAGGGGAAGCTGCAGACCTTGAAAAATTCAAACCCGACTTAAAACAAACACAAGCAATCGTTGGGGAGGAGGGACACTTTCTCCTTAACCCCCCCCCCACGTCTCCGTTTTGCCCCTGCTCCTCCCCCGCCCTCCCACCCCTTGCTGCCTTCACAGAGGGGTGAGAAAGAGACACAAAATCGAACCCACTATGAAAGGAATAATAATGATCCCTCCTTCCCCCGGCCTTCCTTTGGGGGGAGAGAGAGAGGGGAGAGGAGGGCTGGGGCTGGGGGAGGGGGGGCTCTGGGATTGGCTGGCTGGGTCCCAGCTGGCCTGGAGGGGGCAGTATGGGGAATGTCTCTGGGACAGGGGACCCCTCGTCAATTTCTGTTCCTCATGTGAGTCTCGTGTTAACTTGATGGATGCGTTTTTTGGCGGGGGGATTTGTTCTGCCTGTGTATCCCCCCGCCCCCAACACCCCCCCCTCCACCCCTCCCCACTGAGGAGCCTTTCCAGCCAACCTCCCGGCTCGGGATCGGCGACAGCTCACCCGCCAACCGCGCCGCGTCCCCCCGAGGCCTCCGGGGAAGGGCTGTGCGGGCAGCGCCCCCTGTGCAGAGTGGGGCCGGCCCGAAGCTCACCCGTTGGCGGAAGGACTTTCTTGGCGAGGCCAGATCTCTTTGTTGGCCCATCCTCGGGGCAATCCATTGTGCTCTGTGTGTCGTGCGCTGGTGGGAAGCGTGTCTGTGTTTGAGATCTCGACCCAGTGCCGGGCAGTATCTGGGACCCTGGAAGGCAGACAAGCCGCTGGCGCTGGGACAGGAGGCCCTGGGCAGCGCTGGCAGGGACAGGTTATGCCTGTGGGTGACGCTTCCCCACCCACCCCGGATAACTTCAGGGACCAGCGCCTTGGCCTCTCCTGCGAGTCTGTCCCGGAGGAAATGACAGCGAGCTTCCGGCTGAGCTAACATCTCCCCAGACAGCGTGGGGCAGGGGGGAGATCCTGGGACAGAGACACCCCCACCCCCGGAGAGCAGCCTGCAGGGGGGAAAGACCTTGGGCATCTGCCTCTTCCCCCACAGCTGGATGGATACAGTGACGCACGGGCTGTGGGGTGGGACTTGCTCCTTCCCGGGCCCAACGCCGGCGCTCGATGGGAGGAAAACCACGACGGGAAGTGGCCCCGGCCGAGACTCCTCCGCACTTGGCTCCGCAGAGGCACCAGGGACTGCGGGCTGCAGCTGGCTTCGAGCTGGAGGAGCCGGTGGGAGGGGGCCCGGGGTGTTCACACGAGATTCTTTGCTCTGGAGAGGAGGGGGAGCAAAAGATCCAGACGCAGGCTGTGGGCAGCAGAGCACTGCCCCAAGGTGACTAATTGGGGTCGGACTCGGACTGGCGTCAAGCAGTGCACGTGGGAATTGGCACACTCACAGCATGCACGGGCCTGGCACTGGTGCGCTCACACCCATGCATGGGATGGAAGCACTGGCGCGCTCATACCCATGGATGGGTTGGGGGCACTGGTGCGCTCACACCCGTGCATGGGATGGGGGCACTGGCGCTCACACCCGTGCAGAGGATGGGGGCACTGGCGCACTCACACCCGTGCACGGGATGGGGGCACTGGCACGCTCACACCCATGGCGGGGGTGGGGGCACTGGCGCGCTCACACCGGTGCATGGGATGGGGGCACTGGCGCTCACACCCGTGCGCGGGATGGGGGCACTGGCACGCTCACACTCATGCATGGGATGGGGGCACTGGCGCTCACATCCATTTATGGGATGGGGGCACTGGCACTCACACCCGTGCGCGGGATAGGGGCACTGGCACGCTCACACCCATGTGTGGGATGGGGGCACTGGCGCGCTCACACCCATGCGCGGGATGGGGGCACTGGCGCGCTCACACCCGTGTGTGGGATGGGGGCACTGGCGCGCTCACACC